TAAATGTAAGAGTCTTATTTTTAAGGGATCTGGAGAGGCCTGCGTCGTCCATTTTGTTTTTTTCCGCCTTCAGCCAGGAATGGTGCAGCCAGACCGAGATGCTGTTGACCTTGACAGCTGTTGGTGCAGACAGGATGACAGTGTATGGTCCCTTCCAGGCCGGCGTTAGTCCCTGGGTGGTGAATTTCTTTATTTATATTGAGTCCCTGGGCTAGAAAGGGTGCATAAGGTTTGAGGTGGGCACAGGCAGGGCATCACAGATGTGTTTAAGGATGGCCTTCTGGGTAGACTGCAGGGTCGGCAAGAACTGTAACAGGGCGAGGGGGAGTAGAGTGGTCCAGTCTTCACAGGTTTCTAAAGTCCTGTTCATGTGCTTTACCTGCCTGGAACTCTGTGGGCAGTAAGCACAATGGGGCTTCTAATTTAAATTTAATCCTTTAGAGATATCCTGTGATATCTTTGTTATCAAGGCGGCGTCATTGTCTGATCTAAGGGTCAGGAGTAGCCTAAATCTGTTATTCCCTTTAATATATCTTAGACTGTTATTTTATTATTAGGGGCAAGTTCCCCCTCTCTCAGTGTCCTATTTTCTTTCCTTCTTGAGTGTCCTTCCAATGTCCTGTCCTCCTGTAATATGTATGTCCCTTTCTTTTATCTTTTCTTATCTTATTTCCTCTGCATAATCTTTCTCTTTTTATTTTTTTCCCTCTCCATAATCCTTCTTCAGCTTGCTGATAGACCCTCTATGATTTACATAATCCTTCTTCAATTTACATAGACCCTCTGTGACTTTTCTATTCCCTCCCCTGACAGGAATTTAAAAGCTTGTTCAATCTATCTGCTGTCTGCATATTCCCCAGCTTTTCTTCTCTTCTTCCCTACTTAGACTTATATATTCCTGCTTCCTTCCACCTTCTCCTTTTCCCTGAGACCTTACTGGACATCACCTGCCTCTCAGGAGTTCAGTAAGCTTGGTGTAACCTAAGTGGGTAGTTTGGTGCAGCTGGTTGACTAAAGTCTGACCTAGAGTCTCTGGGACCAATAATCTCCCATCGGGTAGCGCCTATCATTTGTTGATTTCCTTTATGACTTGTTTCTGCTTGGTTAAGTCATTTTCTGCCCAGTGTTAGTAGGCGTCAGAGGCAAACTTGGGTTTGGCATGGTGACTGATATCTGAAGAGGTCCCCACTGGTTTTAGGGCCATATGTAGAGCTTCCTTATTTGCAGCATGGTTTCCCCTTGCCTCATCAGAGAGCCTGGATTAGGGCTATAAATTCAGCCTATTGGGCTGAAGTTCCCCTACTTAATGATATGGTCTAGCGTTTTTGCTGCTGTCCCAGCATACCCAATTTCTTCCTGGACATAGTTGCTCCTGTCCGTGAACAATATTTCATCTGATGATGGCAGTGGGTCATCCCTGAGGACTGGGCGGTCGTCTGCAGTGTCGATTGCCTCCAGGCAGTCCTGCAGAGGTTTCTCCGGGTTATCATCTGGGGGCAGGCTGGCAGAATTGATGGCCAACATCTTGTGGAACTTGATGTGGGGGCTGGCCTGGAGCGGCAGTGGCCAGCAATAGAATGATCTCTGGAGGAGATCATGTCCAAGTAGGTGGTATGGGCGCTCTGGCAGGAATAGAAACAAATGAGTCACAGTATTTTTCCCAAGGTCTATAGTCCACTTTGAGGTCCAGGGGTAGGTCAGGGCCCTATTTGCTCAGTCAAGACTGAGTCTGCTGCACCAGTATCTACCAGGAAACTAACTAGTTTGTCCCCTATTGTCTTGTATTATTCTGGGCTCCAGAGGGCTCAGCTGGAAGGAGCCCTAGCCCTGCCATTTTCCTAAATTAAGGACTGCTTTTTATTTTGTTCCTCTAGACCTGATTTTGTCCTTGTGTTTTCTATTCCTAATTGGGACCTAGGCTTGCTGTCCTGACCCTTCTTCATGTTTCCCTTCCTAGGGTGATCCTTTTCTATGGGCCCTGTGTCCTTTAAGGCTGTTATTATTACCTTTGTTAATTCAGCCAATTGGGCCAATAGGCCTAACAGGAGACCACACAGTGAAAAGTGTCTGAGGAAGCCCTTCCCCCGACAGTATTTGGGTCCTACTGTGGGCAGAGAAATGGGAACATTTCCTCTGACCCCAGGTTTACAGAAGGATGCAGGAAAGGGGAGCGACGTCCTAAGATGTATGTCTACGTGGGGCAGAGTGTTTTTTAATTCTCTAAGCACATTTTGCATCCCTGCCTGGGATCCCTATATTTAATGCCCCAAAGTTCAGAGAAGCCTGTTAGAAATTAGTTGCCATCGAACCTGTTGCAGATGAGCAGCCTAGGCTGGCATTTCAATGGTTAAACAGTTTGCCTGTGAGAATGTTAATAAGCCTTGTAGAGAGGCCTTGAGACCTCATCATAAAGAAGCCAGTACATTGGAATACATCTATATCCATACACAGGGAACACACAAGGGAGGCTCTGAGAGAAGCCTTCCCTGCCCACAAGGCAGCAGAAAGTGGTAAAGAATCACCATCTTTTTTATTCTTTCATGTCAATTTTTTATCTCCTATTATTCATAAATTTTAAATCTTTATTATTTTATAATTTCCTTTTCATAAAGCCCTTCTCAGGTGGAGACCCAAGTACATCACAGGTATCATTTTATTCATATTATAGTAATCATAGTTCAGATTTATTTATTTTTTCTTTTTGTATGTGAGTACATTGTAGCACCATGAAAGAAAAAACTTTCTTAGTTAAACTAAAAAGAGCTTGATCTTCAGGCCTCTGGGGCCTTAATCATGTTCTTTCTTTAAATAATCTAAGTATGACTTTACAAAATATCTTATATTATATGCCCCTTTAAAGTGAGGACTGTTTGTATAACCCATAGCATTAGCAGAGACCCACATAAAAGAGGCATTCTATGCATCTGCTAAGTGAACAAATAATCACTCTAAGTAATGTGTTTGCTCTTGCATTTGGAGTTTGTTGTCCCCTTACCCTTACTCCAGTGGGGAAACAGACTGTGTTAAACCATCTGCACTGATTTGGTTTCCTTTCATAAGGAAAGAAAACAAATCCTTGAGGAATTCCAGGTCTTATTGAAATGACTCAAAGCTAATTCCAGGTCAAGAAAAAGTTTTTTAAATTCAAATCCTGAGAAGGTTGTCAAACATAATTGACCAAAAGATTATATAGTATTATTATTAAATAGTATTCAATTATTTATTCATTTAAAGTGACAACGACAGATGTTAAACATAAACATAGGTCAGTGAAACTTCATTTCTTATGCTTAAGAAAATAGGTCTTTAAGGAGTCAAGTACTTGATTAACATAACATAAAACCATTTCAATAATATACATAACTTTTGCTTCCCAGGCAAATATTGGGGGAAAAAACCCTTTTCCCTTTTAAGGGTCTGAAAAAGAACCAAATAAATTCTATATTAATTTATTTTAGATTCAGGTATCTTATTAAATTCATTATTTATTTTATTTATAATTTCCTTCTAAGATTTTTCTTAACAAATCTTTTAATTTTCATAAACCTTTTTATCCATTCAGAAATAACCAGTTTTAGAACAATTTTCTCTTAAAGAATATATATATTTCCATATCCTATATTTTTTTTTCATCAATACCATATAATTTTTTTCTAACTTAATCTGAACTTTTAACTTTTAGAAATGTTGAATTTTTTTTCTTTTGACAAGTACAAGTAATTGACATTCATTTGACTGGCAAATAGATTCATATTTTCAATAGACATTTTTCAAATCAATAGATCATTAACAGATCGAAATTCATCTAGCTTTTCTGTAATAAGAACCCAGAGTAGGGAAACTCAGGTTAATCGACATTTTAGTGTATCCTCAAGGGGGGTCCTGAAGGACAGAATGCCATATAATTTCCTTGGGGGCTGGGAGGAGTTACTGTCCTTCAGAGCAGGCTGAGGCATTGTTAACAAAAGTGTTTTTCCTTTCATTTGAACCTCTGGACACTTACATTTCTTAATATAATTGGGTTTGTCAGTACTTAAATCAATCCAAATATCAATATATGGCATTTGTTCTGGGTAACCAGGGCTCCTGTATATTTTCTGATGGGCCATAAAAGCCAAATGCAAATTGAAACTACCTTCTGGTGGCCAATTAACCCCTTAGTCAGGCTATTCAAGTTCACAGAGTACTCTCAGGAAACCAGGATCGGCAGGCTTTTCATAGTCACAGGAGCGCTTAAAGAAATCAGAAAAGTTATTCAGCATGCATTGGAGGGGTGCTCGGGCCTCCGAGTGGGCTTGCCCCATTCTGTAGGAAAGAAAAGTAGCCGGCACACAACAATAACAACACAAGGACAGACAATAACAGACTGAACGTTCACTTTCATTCACCAGCCGAATCCGCAAGCAGATCCCAAACATAAGCCATAAGGGGGGGAACGGCGCCCTGTCCCAACCAGGGTGAGGCAGTTCTGCAGCGTCCTGCCCGCCGAACACAGGACACAGTCCTTCAAGGAAACAACCGAATCAAATGGAAAGAGATGGTGTTTCCCTTACCTCCAGACTTCCCGGGACGGATCCGAAAAGCTCCTAGTCAAATCGAAAGCCATTTTGAAGCAAAGGATATGGAGGCTTCCTTCGCCTAGCCCGAGGAGGTCTACCCCAAAGGGAGGGGGTCCTCGCGGTGATCTCGCTGGGGCCTCCAAATGTTGTAACCCAGGAGAATCAACCTCACTCAGACACAAAGTAATTTTGAATATTAGGAGCTTTATTACCTGCGCAGGCACTGCAGTCAACCTTCGCAGAGGAGAACTGCAGCCCTGAGCTCAGGGGGAGGGTTGCTTACATAGGACAGGGGTTATTCAACAGTTTAGCAGAGCAGGCAAGCTACATGTATGGAAGTGGAGGCAGTTAGCCATAAGCAGGAGGGAACAGAGGTGGGAGGGAGCTGAGGCAAAGGGAACTGGGTGAACTGGGTCAGCATACATCTATCCTGCTATTTATTCTATTATCTAAGTTCTAAAAACTAACAAATACGCTTAGAGGACACATTCATTTAGAGGAGTATCAGGCCAGCTGGTACTTCCTCAGGTTGCCTCTGAAAGCTTCATATTTGGCCTTTTGCTGATTTAATCAGGACAGAGTGATAGGAACAGGTTATTACATTTGTGAGGGGAAAAAAAAAACACAGAGTATTGTGGCTCACAATGAAAAGGTAGAAATTTTAAACTACAGAATAGGAAGAAGATGAGAGTAGCTCAGCCTGGAGAAAAAGTGTCCCTTCAAGAAAAAAATAAGACTCTTTGCTCTTTTAACCCTCCCTTCTTTAAAGATCACTCTTCCCCCAGACTCAGTGTCCCTCTTTCCCACCACCAGAAGAGACACCTACGAGGAGAGCAGCTGCAGAACCACAGTTTGAGACACCAAACACATCAGCCTCCTGTCCTTGTCCTTAGAAACCAGCCCACTTACTTTTAGTAGAGGTACACGAGTCTTAACTTAGTGGAGAATAGTAGATGTAAGTCTGGTCAAGATTCACTCACCAAGACAGAGACCAGCCTTTGACAGAGGAATTCCCCCACTGGAGAGGACTGAGAAATGAGGGTAAAGGTCACAGAAGTGAAAATGAAACACAGGAAGCAGAACAGAACCTTAAGAAAAACAACAGTTCCAGGAAAGTCACCACCCAGACCCTTGGGGAAGTTAATGCTTCAGTATGTTCTAGGACCTAACCAGCACTCAATCACTATGTTTTTATCCCTTTTGTAGATTATTCCAGCAACAATATTTGAATCAGAGTATTAATTAAAATGATACATTCTACAGCTTGCCTGAACACTCACAATTTAATTGAATTCTACAAGTATTTGTTCTGCTTATTTTATATTTATGTCCCAAGATACTTACTAGGGATAAAATCATGATCCAGAAAGTGTGGGTACCTGCCCTTTGTAAAGCAGAGTGTGATGGATAATCAGTGGGAGGGCTCAGTTCATTAGAGCTAAGTGGTAGCAGCTGTCATTGTGGAAGGTAAACTGACATTTTGTAAAACATTCTCATTTCTAAACAGCAGTTAAAAGAGCTACTATTTAGAAAATGTTTGAACCCACTGAAAAAAGTTTCCACAACACCACTGAATCTTTGTGGTCCACCAGTTAATTACCAGCTTTTGTTTGTGACCTAGACAGGCCAGAGGAGGAAGCCTTCCAGACCCAGTGTGGTACAGGTGTGTCATTGACATGGCACCAGCAACTAGGAGGCAGGAAGAGCATGGAGGTTAACAGGTGGTGCTCTTCTAGTGGAGTCTTTCCCTGGGTGGCACTCACACCTCCATAACCGTCCCCTACCCTACCTTGAGTGGGAAATATTTCATCCTTGTTACATCATCAATCAAAAGTAGAACTGAAAAATGTATTAAAATTAAAAATTGAAAATAAATTTATAAGAAGGTAGAACCTCTGCATGACATAGTACTATAATAAAAATAAAATGACAATAAAAATAAGTTTAATTTACAAAATCCGAAGAGAAATATTTCTATTTCCTTCACATGTTTGCATATCCTCTCATCGATCTTTTCTTCTGAGAATATGTTTCATGTTCTGCAGTTTCAAGATGGTCGAAGATCCAGACAAGGATCCCTGACAGGCAAGAGTCAGAGCTGGGCAACCGTCACACATTAACTTAAAGAGACAGGGAGGGCGACTGAAACGTTGATGATTTTCTAATTAAAGCAAAGATAGTTTGGTATTGTTTGTTTCCCACAATAGAATTAAGTTAACGTTGCTCTCTATTGGGTCTTCTTGAGTCACATGTCTCTGAGGTAGCAGTGAAATTTATATAGGCTTATGGCTGAGTCATGTCGACAGTTTTAGTATCAAGGGTGCGAATGAAGTTATTTCTAACAAATAAACTGGTGGTGCTTTAAAGTGCAATGATAAGCATGCAAATTTTGCATGGATTGTATTCTGAGACCTGGCGTTTTTTGCTTTATCATCTTTGTCATAAGATAATAGTATATTGAGTGTCCTTCTTCATGCAGCCCTGCACCCAACAACAGTAAGAATTACGAAGGCAGGAAGGGACCTTTTTTATGTTATTCTTTATTGTGTCTGATATTACAAAATATTATGTATATATTATATTACATATGTTATATGAGAATGGCATTGAAATAGAAAGACATACTCTTATTGCTATAGATACAATTTTAATTATATTAAACATGCTGATGATAATCATGGTTCTGTTCTATTGGTGGTGTTGCTGTGAACATAATTGCTATGGTCATAGTCAAATTCTGGTGTTATTAGCATTTATGCAAACTTCTTGACAGTTTATTTATTTATTTACTTATTTTTTTTTGGTACGTGCCCCTAGTGGAAACTGGACCTGGGACTCTGTGGTCCACAGGCTGCTGCTCTAACCGCGGAGCCAAACTGGCCAGGGCCTCCTTGATAAATTTCAAACAATTCTCATATTTTGTTTTGTTGCTAAGATGTCCTCAGACACATATCTTAGTCCTGTCGTTTACCTTCACCACCACACTCTAAGCGCACAGCTTCCTGTGCTCTCTGTTGTTTTCAGTCCTAAACAGTTAAAAAGAAGATGCCCAAAGTGGCAGAACTTCTCTCCGTCAGGAGATGTGGGGACTAAAGGGAACACAGAGAACTGAGAAGGTGGCTTATTCCCTGGGCCTCAGAACATCGTATGCTGGCATATGGACCACAGCAATATGGTTAGCTCTGGATATGGCCTTTGGGTGATGGAAGGAGTAAGGTTCTTTCATATTTCCTATTAGCTGATGCTTGCCTTTACCTGAACAGCTCTGATTTCCTAACTGGTGTCTCTCCACCTTAAATCTAATGTCTCAGAGGAGGTCCCAGGACACCAGCACCACTCCCCTTGCCCTCCAACACTCTCATGGGCTTCTGAATTTTTCCAATATTTTTCACATAATACTTTTATACTCTCTTCACAGACAAGATCAAATACATTAAGTCCTCTTTTTATCTGCTGTTTTCAAATTATAGATGGTCGAAGGTTTTTCAGCTCAATGCAGTCCTACCACAACCTACTCAAAAATGCATACTAGGTGTTGTGGTTTGAGTTTTGAAGGGAAGAGTTTTCTTGGGGGCTAAAGAAAAATACCTGATAAAGAGCCAGCTTCTATGTAGAAACTTATTAACAACAACAACAACAAAATCTGTTTCTTCTCATTCCAAAAGCACAACCTTTCATAGGAACATCTCACACAGAGTCTGGAGCAAACATATTAGTTCTCTGGGGACCTGAATGTGGCTCAGATCAGATTCAAAGGGAGGCAGCAGTAAAACGATGACCATGTGATTTGTGGGGGCACACATCCTAGCCTTCCTTGTGCACTCCACAGAAAAACACTCCACATGGGGGGCCCTCCACCTCCCTTCAGTTGTCAACAAGATTTGTTGATCAAATATAGATTACATCACAAATCATTCTACAGTATGCCTCTGTACTTACCACCTGACCCCCAATCATCTTGTTCCACTTTCTCAAGTGTGAGAATGAAAACTAGACACTTGAAAGAAATCTGGCTGTTTGTAATGGCAGAAAATACACTGACCCTAAAATCAGTAAGTCTACTTATACAGTTTACTCAGAACAATAAATTGTCTGTGTTTCTGAAGACTGCACATGGGATCCCACAAAGGCCTGAATGAACATCCACTGCAGATTCAACTCCACTTCCTCCCAATGGGGCCAGGGCGGGGGGGGGGCGGGAGGAGAGGAAGAACAGGCTTATCTTCCATCCTGAAGACTGCCATAGTCTGTCAGCCCACTGGAGAGAGTGAGGCCAATAAGGAGAAAGCAACTCAAAGCAAAAATATGCCTGTGAATACTTCTACGGTGTGTGTGTGTGTATGTGTGTGTGTGTGTGTGTGTGTGTGTGTGTGTGTTTGGGGATATATGTATTTATTAGATGCACAGTTTGAGAATTCTTGACAATGGTGGTGCCAAGGACCTAAAAATACTTTGTATCTAAAAATTCAGGTCCTTCTTTCCTGGTAATTAGGGACTTCATTCTGAATTAGAGAACTGGCATTTCAGTAACTGAGGAAAAATGAATGTCTCTGAAGTTGATTTGTCAGTCACTGAGGAGTACTGCTTGTAGTCACAGCAAGTAAGTTGGATTCTTGGTAACATGCCTGGGTTGCTGGCTCCATCCCCGGTAGGACGCGTGTAGGAGGCAGCTGTTGGATGTATCTTTCTCACATTGATGTTTCCTTCTCTCCCTCCCTCTCTCTCTAAAACAAACAAACAAAAATCAATAAAAACAGATTTTTAAAAATTATAAAAATAAAAAATAAATTAAAAAAATAAAAGCATTCTGTTATCCCTGCCATGTGGTTCGGTGGACTGAGTGTTGCCCCATGGATGGGCAGTCCCAGTGCGATTCCTGACCAGGACACATACCTGGGTTGCTGGCTCTATCCCCAGTAGGGGGCATGCAGGAGGCAGCCAATTAATGTTTCTCTCACATTGTTATTTCTAGCTCTCTCCTTTCCTCTAAAAATTCAATTAAAACATATAAGAAATAGCCTTGGCCGGTTTGGCTCAGCGGTTAGAGCGTCGGCCTACGGTCCAGAGAGACCTGGGTTCGGTTCCCATTAGGGGCCTAAATATTACTTGGTCACTTAAGGATACAAGGAGAATGTTGCAGAGGTGAGAATACAGAAAGTCATCCTTAATGTAATAAGAGCAGGTCTGATAAGGAGAAGCCAGATAAAATGAAAAAAAGAAAGAAAGTAAAAGGAAGAAAGAAAGAAAGAAAGAAAGAAAGAAAGAAAGAAAGAAAGAAAGAAAGAAAGAAAGGGAGAAAGAGAGAAAGAAAGAGAAAGAAAGAGAGAAAGGAAGGAGGGAAGGAGGGAGGGAGAGATGAAGGGAGGAAGGAAGGAAGGAAGGAAGGAAGGAAGGAAGGAAGGAAGGAAGGAAGGAAGGAAGGAAGGAAGGAAAAGAGAGAGAGAAAGAAAGAAAGAAAGAAAGAAAGAAAGAAAGAAAGAAAGAAAGAAAGAAAGAAAGAAAGAAAGAGAAAGAAAGAGAGAAAGAAAGAGCCCAGCTGGTGTGGCTCAGTTGGTTGAGCATCATCCCCATGCACCAAGAAGTCACTGGATAGATTTTAGGTCAAAGAACAGGCCCAGGTGGTGAGCTGACCCCCAGTGAGGGGTGGACAGGAGGCAGCTGATCTTTGAATATTTCCCTCATAAATGTTCCTTTATCTCTCTCTCTTCTTCTGTCTGAAAAATCAATAAAATCTTAGATTATAAAAAAAGAAGAAGGAGAAAAATAAGTTTTAACTGGTGAGTAAGTCTGAGGTGTAGCTTATTCCGGGAAAAAGCTATGTCTTTAACAGGAGTAAGAAGTGGTTAAATAAATAAGTAAAGACTCATTCCTTCTTCCCTACTTTAACTCTCTTTTCTCATGGATCTAAGGATTTGTTGTCATGACAGTTCATCTGGCATCTTTTCAGACAACTAACACCAACAAGCATCTCATTATGTTGTATCAAATGGTTTCAAGACGCCCTGTATGGACATTCTTCCTATGTGCTTCTGCTGTTTCTGCTCTCTCAGATGACCTCTGTTTCGGGGTGAGACATGTCCCAAGAATAAAATGAGCATGCTTAGTGATTTTTCAGGAACTGCAGTAAATCTGTGGGTTTGAACTTGAAAAACATTTGGGACTAGTAAATACAAAAGAAGCTCCAGAGCAGGGCCTCTGTCACACCGTTAAGGTTCACAAACCCAGAGAAGACAGAGCACTAGGAATTCATGAGAACAGACATGATGAAATCCTACATCATTACACTTATAGGTGTTAGATTACAAAACTTCAAAGTACTCTGTGACTTTCTGTTTTCTTTTCCAAACTCTCTCCTTTTGTTCCTGAGCAGAGCCAGGCATAGCTCTCTTCTCTACTAGTCTGTGCAGAACTGGTCCAGAAGCTTGGGCTGTGGCACAGGGAGACTCCATAAGCTCCTTCTCTAGGGCTTTCTTGCAAGGACTTTTCAGAATATACTAGTTCCCCATGTTTTCAAATCAGGAATAAGGATTACTCCTAAAGGTCATAACTCAGTTAGTGTACCTGGAGTTAGAAAATGAAAACTCATAATTTGAAGGCAATATGAAGACTGCAGTGGGGAGCCTAGTCTTGTGCTGTCATTAGTGTTCTCCTGCACACCCCACCTTGCACCTACAACTGCCAGTTTCATTTTTTACTTATGCCTCATATCTATTAGAATGATCTGCACTGGAAGAGTGATATGTAGATATATAGATATATCACTGTACATATAATTTTAACTGAATTGGGCATCACTAAAATGTCCATATTACCCAAAGCAATCTATAGATTCAATGCAATCCCCATCAAAATGCCAACGGCATACTTCACAAAATTAGAACAAGTACTTCAAAAGTTCATATGAAACCAAAAAAGATCTCGAATAGCCACAGCAATCTTGAAAAGGAAGAACAAAGTTGGAGAGATCACATTACCAGATTTCAGGTTATACTACAAAGCGATAGTAATCAAAAGAGCCTGGTACTGGCACAAGAACAGGCATATAGACCAGTGGAACAGAACAGAGAACCCAGAAATGGGCCCAAGCAATATGTTCAATTAATATTTGACAAAGGTGGTAAGAGCATACAGTGGAGTAAGGACAGCTTCTTTAATAAATTGTGCTGGGAAAATTGGACAGCTACATGCAGAAAAATGAAACTCGACCATCAACATACACCCTACACAAGAATAAACTCAAAATGGATACAAGACTTAAATGTGACTCATGAATCCATAAAAATCCTAGAAGAAAATGTAGGCAACAAAATTTCAGACATCGTGTGCAGCAGAATTTTCACTGATACATCACCTAAGGCAATAGAAACAAAGGAGAAAATAAACACATGGGACTACATCAAACTCAAAAGCTTCTGCACAGCGAAAGACACAATCATCAAAACAGAAAGGCTACCCACTGTATGGGAGAGCATGATTGCCAATGATATATCAGATAAGGGGTTAATTTCCAATATATAGAGAGTGCTCATACAACTCCACAAAAGGAAGACAAAGAACCCAATTAAAAAATGGGCAGAGGAATTAATAGACACCTCTCCAAACAGGACATACAAATGGCTAAGAGACATATGAAGAAATGCTCATCATCACTAATCATCAGAGAGATGCGAATTAAAACAACAATGAGGTATCACCTCACACCTGTCAGAATGGCCGCCATCAACAAATCATCAAACAACAAGTGTTGGCGAGGGTGGAGAAACAACAAGTGTTGTGGAGAAAAGGGGACTTTAGTACACTGCTGGTGGGACTGCAGACTGGTGCAGCCACTATGGAAAACAATATGGTGTTACCTCAAAAAATTAAAAATTTGACCCAGTGATCCCACTTCTAGGAATATACCCTAAGAAGCCTGAAACACCAATCAGAAAGAATATATGTACCCCCATGTTTGTAGCAGCACTATTTACAATAGCTAAGATCTGGAAACAGCCCAAGTGTCCATCAGTAGACGAATGGATAAAAAAGCCATGGTACACATACACAGTGGAGTACTACGCAGCTGTAAGAAAGAAAGATCTCCTATCCTTTGAGACTACATGGAGGGACCTGGAAAATATCATCCTAAGTGAAACAAGCCAAACAGAGAAAGACAAGTATCATATGATCTCACTTATTTGTGGAATATAATGAACCTAACAGTCTGAGGAACGGGGTAGTCCCAGAGACGTGGAAGTGGGGTACAGACTGACAATCCCCAGAAGAGGAGGTGGTGGGAGAGAGATAAACTACAGAACTTATATGCATGTATGCATGAACAGTGGACATGGACAACAATCGGGATAGGGCAGGGAGGGAAGAGGAGGAGGGAATCAGTGGGTGAAAAAAGGAGAAACATCTGTAACAAAAATTAATTAATAAAAAATAAATAAATTTTTTAAAAAAAGCAGTGGTACATATACACAATGGAGTACTATGCAGCTGTAAGAAAGAAAGGTCTCTTATCCTTTGAGACAACAAAACGGGACCTAGAATGTGTTATCTTAAGTAAAACATGCGAAGCAGAGAAAGACAAATATCACATGATCTTACTTATTTGTGGATATAGTGACTATAACAATCTGAGGAATAGGATAGACCCAGAGACATGGAAGTAGGGTACAGACTGACAACCCTCAGAAGAGAGGTGGTGGGGGGAAGGAAGAAATAAAGCACAGAATTTATGTGCACGTACGCATAACCGATGGACACAAACAACAGACCAGTGTGTGAGGTGGGGGTGATGGAGAGGACGTTGTCAGGGGGGAAAAATAGGAGAAACATATATAACAAAAGTGAATTAATAAAAAAAAAAGTCTCCCCCCCCAAAAAAAAAAGATCCAGAGTCCCTACATCTTGTTGACAATTTCCCTAAGGGAATTGTAGATGCAATCTAAAATTATTCTATGTACAAAAAGGTAGAGGACATGGCTCATATTCAATAGAAAGGCAATCAACAAAGACCAACTCTGAAAAAAATCCAGATGTTTTATTATGATAAAAGAACTT